TGAGCATACAGTTTGTCTTGTCTTCCGAACAAAACCACTTTCTACAGATCGTCAGTAAATGGACTTTGGCCCGCTTTACTACCGCCTGCAACTGTGCGCAATCTTCGATACTCAAGTCTCCCACCCGATCCTCATAAACAGCTCGTAAACGACTGCCTCAAAGAAAGAATATAGCTGCTGCACAGGAGCGCGATCCTGTAGCGGGATAGGTTCCTTGTGATGAATGACAGGAATATCTCGTCTTATATTATCATGATCAGCTTTGCAAGGTGGAATGTTATTGTACCTCTGCTATAGTGGTGGCCTTGTTGCAGATTAGGGGCGCTGACAGACAAGTAGCGAGTGTCCCCATGGTTAGATATGCGGCTGGTCGTGCAGTAGAAGGGAAATTTGCACCCTAGTACCACTGCCCTCCGGTACCGTTCCATGTACTTTTCAACAAAAAAATGGCACGCTGGTTCAGCTGGCCAGTTCAACTTGCAAATAGCAGAGCCTGGACCCTGAAGTGAGTGTTCTTTCTTTACTGAAGCTACCTTATGCGTTTTCCTGCGGGACCTGTTCCATGGGCGAAAGAGCAGATCTGCAACCGTGGAACCGTGGAATGGTACCACAGAACCCTCTTGGAAGCGGGTAATATTGAAATTGGGGGATGTGCTAGTTGAAAGTTCTGCATGGCTCGATTCAGCGCATGCTGCACGTATGTAGCAAATACTGTCAGCATCTCGCTGCGTGACCTCAGTCGCCCAGGAACTGAAAGGAACACGTACATTGAAGACACTACAGTTTCCTGCGAAGTTGCCCCTCAATTACGCGAGGAGTGCAGGCACGTCAGTGTAGAGCAGTACCATGTCCACAGGTGGAAAGACCCGCAGGTACGCGCTCGCGCGGTCAGGCTACAGTACTCCATGCGAGCGGGGATCTGCCGCAGCCTGTTGTGTGCATTTAACGACCAACACAATTAAACTCGCGCGCTATTTTCAGGGGTATTGTATGCACACTGACAACGTGAACTTATAATTCAATGACTGCGTTTTGTGTGCGTAGGATCTGGTAAGCAGGATAAGAAGGGTAGAACGCATACAAATATTAGAAACTACTCATTTATTCATGCATTCTTACCAAAATGAAAAACTAATACAATGTTAGAATGCACAGTCCACCTAGCAGAGCATTATCAGAAATACTAGGCGCGATCGTATCCGTCATGAGAAATTTTGTTGACGCCAACCATCGAGGCCTTCGTACGCTGCCTCCGCATGACGTGTTGGCATTCCGACATCATTCTGGAAAGAAGTTTATATTGCAAGTTCATAACTACAGCAGTTGGAATCCAGCAATTTTTTACATGAAATAGCGCATACTAATTGCTCATAGACCAGGAGCTAAAGCCACTTTACTTACGAGAGTACAGTTTACGTTGAAGATGATTCATACGAGAAACGTGATGCGTAAAGCGGTATTCATACTTCGCAGCAGCGTCCACCAGCGTTCCGAACATCCGGTAGCGTCGACGACTAATATAGATATCGATCTAGCGTCTGCCATCGTCCACCAGCAATCAGCAGCAGACTAATAGGTGTCGACCCAGCTCTGCCTGCGTCCTTCTCCGACCAGCAAAGTCCGGGAGTGGAGCGATAGGGGTAGTAGGAGGGTAGCAGTCAGCTGGTGGAGTACGGGGAGATAAAAATGTAGCACACTGCTAGTAAAGAGTATGGCGCCATAGGAGGGAACCAGGCATCTGGTATACTATGAGGCTATAGGAGGGTAGGAGACAGCGGTGGACAGGGAGGTGGGGAATAGGAGATAAGAGGCAGACTGCTGTGTCAATTCTTTCGCTCATTCTTCTCTACCATCTGCTGGTCGGTGATGGACGCTGGTAGGCGTTGGCAAGCTGCAAATCGATACCTATACTTCCTCAGCCCTTGATACACTGGCAAGCGCTGGTGGACGCTGACAGACGCCAGTGATATCTATACTTTCCTAGTCGTTGACGCTGCCGGACGTCGGAACGCAGGTGCACGCTATTGCTGGTCGCTGCGAGACCTGCCACAAAGTATGAACCATCCTAATGAGTATTTCAGTTGCTTTAGTTCAAGCGCAACCTCATCTTCACATCTCTCCGAGAAAAGGACTATTAAGCCGATAGAGCTAGTATATGCTGTTTTTAGAAAAATGCGTGTTCTGGAAAATGGGGAGCAAATAAGTACAAGTGTCGATCGGCTGTAGTTCAGGAATCCAAGGAGCGTATCCAAGAGCAAACTGACATAGTATTGCCTGGCTGGTTGACTTGACCCGCTGCTGCATTATCACGCTCAATCAACTAGATCCTGATGAGAGCAATGAAATACCATTGCCGAGACGGACAAAAGAGGACGAGGCAACCCCCCCCCACCCCTAATTCACAACGACTCATGCACGTCAATCACCTCCGCTTACCAGCGCATCGCACTTTGTCAGATTCCCGCACTCTCTGCGAGCGCAAATTCTCTGACGCAGATTCTCTAGAGGGGCACGCTTCGATAAACTTCTGGTAATTACGATATCCCTCCGCTTCAGAAGCGGAACTCGCTGCGACCCCTTCCCACAAAAAAAAGGACAAATAGTAGACAATTCCACTTGAATTATAGGTATTCGCGCGCATTTAGATTGCGCGCGAGTCGATCCTACACCTGTAGAGCACGACGTATATGAGCACTATTGTTTTTTCCAGACAAGCAGGAAGTGATGCCGCCCGTTTTTCAGAACGTATAATTCTGTGAAGAGAAAGGATTAGTGAGCGACAATATCCTACAATGCAGTAGTAAAAAGAGGGGAACAGCAAACACTGGTCCAGTCGAAAGCGCATGCGGGCTTAATCTCATCTCCCGACGCACTGTGATCATTTGTGGGCTCAATTCATTTCTTTCGATCTAATGAGTAGACTGTATACAAAGTCACAATGATATAAATACTAGATGTTATGAACGGTTCGTCGAATCAGATGTTTTATTTTCAAAAGTCATGAAGTTACTTGAAAAAAAACCTACCTTCAACCATCCCACAACTCTATCTCGATCTCCATTATGAACCAGGAATTGTCCGAACACATTAGCAGCCTGGAACGGTAACTGAGTAAACTGAGAACAAGAACTGCACCAATAAACAAGTGATTACTTTAGGAAGTCCTTGTTCAGCAAGTCTAGCACCATACTCTGGTCCAATTCCAGGTATGTCATGGGCCCATTTATCACCCATCGGCTCACCTACGAATTCGCGTGCCTTCTTTGTCGACATAACTCCACGCTAAAATGCAGTATACTATGGCAAATGATTAGTAGTTAGTGGTACGATTCAACGTAATTTCTCGAACGGAATGAAGAGAAGAATGTCACACACGCATACTTGTATGGCTCGAGAATTGTGAAACTCTTCAGTGCAACCCCTTCACTACAAATCCTACTGACTGTGAACACTTAGGCTGATGTGACTTTCGCTGATGGCGTTAACACAGCTCGAGCTAGACCCCCTCTCCCAACTTAAGCTTCAGTTCAGA